TGTGTGTGTGTGTGTGTGTGTGTGTGTGTGTGTGTGTGTGTGTGTGTGTGTGTAAAGAGGAGTATTTAAAAATGATTAAGTATTTTATTGAAGATGTTTCACACATTGGATATCTAAATGCTTTTATGAAAATTGTTACATTCTATTAAGAACAGTTGGTGTTATGCTTCTGAACACGTTACGAATACATTGCATATTTTCAATAGTCGGTTCAGTCTCTCCAGAGAAAAAAATCTAATGATCATCAAATCCGAAGATCTAGGAGGCTACTTGTGTTTGACTACCTATACCAATCCATTCATTTTCGAATATATTATTTAAATAGTCTCTGACGTCGCGTGCTTTTTGAGCGGGCGCCCCGTCTTGCATAAATCACATTCAAATACATGTCTGAAGATCAACATTTTCTAAAAGAATCGGTGACTAATTTTGTAAAAAAATTAAATAATTTTTTAAGGTTTGCTTGAAAGAAATATGGACTAATAACGTAATTTTCTAAACTGGCTTACACATTAACAGATCATTGCCATTGTAATTCTTCATTCCGTTGCCAATGTGGATTTCCTTCAGAATAATAGTGACAATTATGTCTATTGATGCCTCTAATCTTATTAAATGTGGTTTCATCAGAAAAAAGCATATAATAATAGAATAACGGATCTCATCTTATTTGATTTTCAGCCCAATTACAAAATCTCACCTCGTGTAAGATTTTGTAATTGGGCTGAAAATCAAATAAGATGAGATTCGTTATTCTTTAGTAGGAGATTACGTTATTGATTCATATGTCTTTCAAGCAAACCTTAATGCGCAAAATTATGTAACAATTTTCATAAAAGATTGCGTTTAGATATCCAACAAGGTAGACATGTCTTCAAACATCTTCAATAAAATATTTAATCATTTTTAAATATCTCTCTTTACGCATGCACGCATGCACGCACGCACGCACGCACACAAAAGAGATGTAAATCTGATCGTTCAATCTCCATACATCTCGGATAACGCTAATGCCAGCAATATCGTAACTTTTAAACCTCACAATCTGACAAATACTTAATGAAAAAATGTTTTATTATAGTATTTTGGCTTTCGAGAACTACAAGAATATGTAATGAAAAATAGTGAGTTTAATTGAAGAAATTGAGGATGATTTTAATGTGATCTTTAAACGACTATCCAAGGTTAAATTAATGGTACCATTATATGGCCTCCTTGAGATCATACAACTTTTGTCTGAAACATTTTTTTGTTAAATGCAAGGGAACAGAAATATTTGGAGTGATAGATTAAAATGGGTCACCCTGTATATTAATTTTAAATTTTATATGTATGGAATATATATATTGAGTTGGAGGAAAAGTTCTGCGGTATTTTGTTAGCTCAAAACATTACATTTTATAAAATTTTCATAAAAAAACAAAATTTAAATTAAAAAAAGTTTTAAAACTTTAAATCTCTACTTTCAAAAGGTTACCATAATTTTTGAGTTCATGAATTTGGTAATTTTTATGTACAGAAAGTTGCAAGTTGAAAAGAAAGGAAAATTTTTCTTTTCAATTTTTTGTAGGTCTGAAAAAAATGTATCAAAATTTTTTACACAAAAAATGTGTAAAAAAAAATTTGCGAAAATTTTCAATTATCTAAGCATAAAAACTTGAAGATTTTCTTACTAAATTGTTTTTTAAAAATGTTCCTACGATTTTTTGTTTTTGAATTATTCATGACTTTAATAAAAAAGAGCGTTTTGACTTTGATTGCTCAATTCCATTAAAATTAATCGTACTGCAATTAAAAAAAATAGATTCTTAAAACAAACATTGCTCTATTCAGTGGAATAATTGCAATTTTTTAAAACTAAAATACAATATATACAGATGAACTAAAAATAACATTAGTTTTCTTTTAATTAAATAAAATACAGGTCTCTTGATATTAAATAAAGTTATCAAATTAATAGGGCAAATAAAAGTCGACAACTAAAATATCATAATTATAATAAATAATTAGAAAGTTAAATGTATTAAGAAAATGACAAGCTACATAATTTACATATATTCGCGTAACATATTTCGGCTATGAGAGAAAATTTTTTTAACCATTGTGCAATAATATAATAAGGACAACATAATATCTTCAGCTTAAATTTATATTAATTAATTAATTAAATTTACTTAAAAAGCTCTATGAAAAGACTACATATTAATAGAAAATAGACATAAAATATGATACAATAGACTATATAGCTTGCAAATGATTAGGCATCAGCAAAACTGCTGTTACAAAGCCTACCAGCAACAACACCAAAACTACACACCCGTATTCATACTCAGATCTTGTACTTAAGGTTTTTTAAATTTATCTTTAGATGCTCAGTAACTAATGAAATAATTCGTAGAGTATCTGAAGATAAATTTAAAGAAGCTTTAAATATAAGGCCTGACTATCAATACAAGCATAAGACAAAAATACAATGAGATGATAAAACGATAGTTAAAATCATACACACGCACATACGCGCGGGCACGCACGTGCACTCCAGTTACATTAGTCCCGCTAAAAACTGTGAGTAATGCGATTAAACGATAGACAGTGAACGAAAGGAGGGTAGAGAGGGAAAGATTTTTATTGATACAGAAAGAGAATTGAAATATTTGACTGAAATGTAGAAGAAAGCGGCACAAAATTTAAAGGAATAATGTACGGGAAAAAATAAATAATCTTGATATCTGGTGACAAGGGGGTAATAGTGAAGTGAAGCTCAAAATTCAAATGAAGGAGGATATAAAGAAGTTGAGAGAAAGATTGAAGCAAAGGAGAAAAAAATGTAAGACAACACAGGTAGAATATAAAACGTTGCCACATCCTAAGTCAACTATCTCTGATAATATAGAGATATATAATCGTATTTACGCAATAGGAGAAACGGAGACAAAAATTTTGAATACTCTGACACGATTTAGCAGTTGTTGATTAAAAGTCAGAACGTCGCCAAGTATTTTTACATAAACAATTTCTCTATTTAAATTAAATTTTTTCATTTTAATTCTTTAAGTTTTTATGGTAACACTTAAATTGAGCAAGGTAATGTACGCAATTTTGTAATATTTTGTATAGTATTTTGAAGGAGAATTAAATAACCATTACTTTAGCTGGAAGAGAAAATGTCTTTGAATGAACTGTGATATAATAATTTCATTTAAGAGGAATTTAAATCATCTGTATTGAAATAGAAAGATCCTTCAATAAGATATACGTATAGGTTATAGATTATCATTGTATAAAAATTAAAAATAGTATCATTTGGATTAAGTAAATAATAAAGATAATATCACTTAGGTTTTACTTCTTATTTTGATAGTAGAATTAATTTGGCACCATAGTTGTTATCAAATCTTTTGTACAAATGATATATATTATATTATTAAATTAATATTAATTATTTATTTACAATAATTTGGCATAATGGTATAATATAAACAGACAAGATTAATTACAGTATTTATGAATATAAGGAAAGTATTTATAGTATTTTAATTTTAATAAAAATATCAAAATATTAACTAAATTAAAAAATCCCATTCTCATCGTTAATATTATAAGAATCAAAATAAATATTAAGATGGTCATCTGCATACTTTTGCATGATCTTTGCTGTGTAAGAAATTAACAATGAATTAACAGAATTTAACTTGGCACCAATTGTTGATATCAAGTCTTTTTTATGAATAATGCATAAAATTTTGAGAAATGTAATTTGGTACCAATTTTATTGTTATCAAATTTTTTATATGAATGATACATATCGTTAAATAACAAGAAACAGTAACATTTAAGTTTTATTTTTTAATTTAATAGAATTTAATTTGATTAGTTAAGATTGTAGCACCTGGGTTTTAAATCATTTGATGCATTAATTTTTTTCAAACAGTAATAATTTATGACAGAATTAAAGTTGCCATTGGATTGGAATAAGATCTTTAATAAGAATATCCTTGAAAAAAAATGAAAACTACTATTAATTAGGTTGGATATTTAGATTTTATTCGGGAAGCACGTATTCTTAACGCCTCTTTTTAAAAAGGTAAGTTTGTACTGATATCACGCATTTTATAGTAATATCATGCATTTTATAGTGATATCATGCATTTTATAGTGATATCACGCATTTTGTAGGAACGAACATCTTTGTAAATAATTTATCTTATAATTGACTTCAAGAATATTATATACAAAGGATCGGTTTCATCAACTCGATTAAGCCGAATCGGTGATTAACTGTCAACCATAAATGATCAATTCTACTAAACAGCAAATAAGATTAGTTAGTTCCACGGCCAATTAAGTAATAGGCGTTGAAACTAGCTCAAAAAATTCTTTCCGAAAAACACATTTAACGTTTTTTATCTTTTTTTAAAAAGGTAAGTTTGTATAA